GTTTAAGTCCTGTTGTAGTCCTGGTTTAGTCCTGGTGTAGTCCTGGTGTAGTCCTGGTTTAGGCCTGGGTTTAGTCCTGGTGTAGTCCTGGTGTAGTCCTGGTTTAGTCCTGGTGTTAGTCCTGGTTGTAGTCCTGGTTTAGTCCTGTAGGTGTAGTCCTGGTTTAGTCCTGGTGTAGTAGTCCTGGTTTAGTCCTGGTGTTTAGTCCTGGTGTAGTCCTGGTTTAGTCCTGGTTTAGTCCTGGTGTTAGTCCTGGTTTAGTCCTGGCGTAGTCCTGGTTTAGTCCTGGTGTAGTCCTGGTTTAGTCCTGGTTTAGTCCTGGTGTAGTCCTGGTTTAGTCCTGGTTTAGCCCAAAATGTGAAAACAGTAAAATCCCTCTGTGTAATCCATTTATTTCAACAAAGTAACTGTAATCCAATTACCACTCACTGAAACAGTAACTGTAACTGAATACAGTTACTCATAATTTGTACTCTGATTACGTAAGGTACATGTAATCCGTTACTCCCCAACACTGGTCATGTTGTTGTTTTGATGGAGTTTTCTCCACGACGCTCGCGCAACTTCCACATCATTATTATTATTATTAAAGTCGTGTTCACTTCCTTTAACTTGTGATGACATTTTGGCTTTACATTTCTGAGGTGCAAAGTGCAGTTTTGCAGGTTTAATCAACTAATTTCCGTCCATTTGTATTTTTCTAGTGGAAGCAAGAACTTTTATCTATTTAGTTCTGCGATTGATCGGACTTCCCGGGTCGCCATCTTGTTGCCCTCCCCGTTTGTCTGGAGTTGGTGAGGAAATATTCTCGTTTTAAATTCATACTCGTTGTTTTTTTTTGTTGTTGTTGTTGTTTTTTTTAATTTTACGGATGGGATTCAATGCGTAGATGTGTTTTAATTTGTTGCGTTTAGTTTAGCAAAGCGTTGTCCGTGTTTGAAGATCGTGGAGAGTTGTTTGACCGCTGCAAAATCCGGAACAAAAAAAAAAAAAAAAAAAAAAAAAAAGTCAGGTGTTTGTGTAGTTTTACAGAGCGACGCTGGACAAAACACGAGGTAAACCAGGACTAAAACAGAACTAAACCAGGACTAATCCAGGTCTAAACCAGGACTAAACCAGGACTAATCCAGGTCTAAACCAGGACTAAACCAGGACTAATCCAGGTCTAAACCAGGACTAAACCAGGACTAATCCAGGTCTAAACCAGGACTAAACCAGGACTAATCCAGGTCTAAACCAGGTCTAAACCAGAACTAAACCAGGACTAAACCAGGACTAAACGAGGACTAAAACAGGACTAAACCAGAACTAAACCAGGTCTAAACCAGAACTAAACCAGGACTAAACCAGGACTAAACGAGGACTAAAAACAGGACTAAACCAGAACAAACCAAAACCAGAACTAAACCAGAACTAAACCAGGACTAAACCAGGACTAAAACAGGACTAAACCAGAACTAAACCAGGTCTAAACCAGAACTAAACCAGAACTAAACCAGATCTAAACCAGAACTAAACGAGGACTAAACCAGGACTAAAACAGAACTAAACCAGGACTAAACCAGAACTAAACCAGGACTAATCCAGGTCTAAACCAGAACTAAACCAGAACTAAAACAGGACTAAACCAGGACTAAAACAGGACTAAACCAGAACTAAACTAGGACTAAACCAGGACTAAACCAGGACTAAACCAGAACTAAACCAGAACTAAAAGAGGACTAAAACAGGACTAAACCAGAACTAAACCAGGTCTAAACCAGAACTAAACCAGAACTAAACCAGATCTAAACCAGAACTAAACCAGAACTAAACCAGAACTAAACGAGGACTAAACCAGGACTAAAACAGAACTAAACTAGTACTAAACCAGAACTAAACGAGGACTAAACCAGGACTAAAACAGAACTAAACCAGGACTAAACCAGAACTAAACCAGGACTAAACCAGGTCTAAACCAGGTCTAAACCAGAACTAAACCAGGACTAAACCAGAACTAAACCAGGTCTAAACCAGGACTAAACCAGAACTAAACCAGGTCTAAACCAGAACTAAACCAGGTCTAAACCAGAACTAAACCAGATCTAAACCAGAACTAAACCAGAACTAAACGAGGAATAAACCAGGACTAAAACAGAACTAAACCAGGACTAAACCAGAACTAAACCAGGACTAATCCAGGTCTAAACCAGAACTAAACCAGAACTAAACCAGGACTAAACCAGGACTAAACCAGGACTAAAACAGGACTAAACCAGAACTAAACTAGGACTAAACCAGGACTAAACCAGGACTAAACCAGAACTAAACCAGAACTAAACCAGGACTAAACCAGAACTAAACCAGAACTAAACCAGAACTAAACCAGAACTAAACCAGAGCTAAACGAGGACTAAACCAGGACTAAAACAGAACTAAACCAGGACTAAACCAGAACTAAACGAGGACTAAACCAGGACTAAAACAGAACTAAACCAGGACTAAACCAGAACTAAACCAGGACTAAACCAGGTCTAAACCAGGTCTAAACCAGAACTAAACCAGAACTAAACCAGGACTAAACCAGAACTAAACCAGGTCTAAACCAGGACTAAACCAGAACTAAACCAGGTCTAAACCAGGTCTAAACCAGGTCTAAACCAGAACTAAACCAGAACTAAACCAGGACTAAACCAGAACTAAACCAGAACTAAACCAGGACTAAAACACGATTAAAACAGAACTAAACTAGGACTAAACCAGGACTAAAACAGAACTAAACCAGGTCTAAACCAGGTCTAAACCCGAACTAAACGAGGACTAAACGAGGTCTAAACCAGGACTAAACCAGGTCTAAACTAAGACTAAACCAGGTTTAAACAGTATGACACTAACAGTAGGTGGACATACTCTAATCATGTACGTTTCTCATTTCTCATATAAAAATAATTTCTCTATCAATAATATTTTTAATCTGGTTAAGGAAAGTCTGATCTTTTTATTTTCTTTTAAGAGATAAAACTTCTTATGTTCAGATCCTCGTCTTTGTTTCTCTACAGTAAAACAAAAGTCTGTTCATGGAGACTTGGGCTCAGACAATTTGAAGAAAACAAGCATGAATTTTCAGGATGTGGTTGGTACTTTCATGAAACAAATTTACCTACGGGTTTGAATAATTAACCCAACCGAACCTAATCTAACCTATACATTTAATGCTGTACTGTGGAACATTCTAGGCAAAGCAATAACATCTCCATGGAGACAAGCAGGCGATGGATTCACACCAGAAAAATTAAATGAAAGTGAAATGAATGTTTAAACTAGGGATGGGCATTCGATGAAATTTTCTTAATCGACCGTCGGAAGAATTAACGATTGATTATCGATTAATCATTAACGTTTTTATATTAAAATGATCATCATTATTATTACTATCTGCACTAATCTGCATAAATAAATTCAACTTTACCACATATAAACTGTAACGACTCTAGAGCCACATCAGCTGTTTGACATTATAATGTGTTTAATTCAGTTTTGTTCAAATCTCACAGAAACAAAACTTAAAACCACATCACTAATTTGCATAAACTAAGTGAAGATAAAACTCCAGCTCTTGTGTCGCTGATGTGGTTCAGTTTCTGTTGGATTAAAAGACATGACTCAGGTGAATACAGGTTAGTGTGACCAGATTTGTGTTTGTCAAAACCAGGACAGCGTACGGGGGGAGGGGGGCGGGGCCTCGTCATCCACATTGAGCGACTCTCACCTGGAAAAACTTTTTCCCACTGGACACAGAAACATATGTGCTGCTTTATACACTGTGCACATGGACTCACACTTGTCCCGAACGCAACGGAAAGTGTGGAATTTCTTGTACAAATCATCGTTAAAAACACATTTGTGCTTCGGTTCGTTACAGACTGACCCACTGTTTGTGTCTCGCTCCTTCTGATGCAGAGACACATGTACACACCTGTTTGGTCACGATACACAGCAACATACATTCAGTTTGTCGATTAAAATTAACGTAATCGATGAAATTCTTAATGATCAATTATCGATTAATCGACTAATCATGCCCATCCCTAGTTTAAACCGTTCCTTTTTTATATTAAACTTATAAATTAGGTATGGGCATGATTAATCGATTAATGGATAATTGATCATTAAGAATTTTATCGATTACGTTAATTTTAATTGACAAACTGAATGTATGTTTGTGTGTGTCGTGACCAAACAGGTGTGTACATGTGTCTCTGCATCAGAAGGAGCGAGACACAAACAGTGGGTCAGTCTGTAACGAACCGAAGCACAAATGTGTTTTTAACGATGATTTGTACAAGAAATTCCACACTTTCCGTTGCGTTGGGACAAGTGTGAGTCCATGTGCACAGTGTATAAAGCAGCACATATGTTTCTGTGTCCAGTGGGAAAAAGTTTTTCCAGGTGAGAGTCGCTCAATGTGGATGACGAGGCCCCGCCCCCCTCCCCCCGTACGCTGTCCTGGTTTTGACAAACACAAAATCTGGTCACACTGACCTGTATTCACCTGAGTCATGTCTTTTAATCCGACAGAAGCTGAACCACATCAGCGACACAAGAGCTGGAGTTTTATCTTCACTTAGTTTATGCAAATTAGTGATGTGGTTTTAAGTTTTGTTTCTGTGAGATTTGAACAAAACTGAATTAAACACATTATAATGTCAAACAGCTGATGTGGCTCTAGAGTCGTTATGGTTTATATGTCGTAAAGTTGAATTTATTTATGCAGATTAGTGCAGATAGTAATAATAATGATGATCATTTTAATATAAAAACGTTAATGATTAATCAATAGTCGATCGTTAATTCTTCCGACGATCGATTAAGAAAATTTCATCGAATGCCCGTCCCTATTATAAATAGAGACAAGACCCTCACAAAATCCTTCTATTCAGTAAAAATATTGTCTGTGTTTTAGACCTTTTTTTTTTCACAAACTGTTACTTGAAAAACACTAAAATGTTCGTATTGTTCAGAGGAGATGGACCAGGAGGAGGTGTTGTCCAAACTCAAGAAGGACGTGCGCTCTCTGCTGCTCTCGTCCAAAGTGGGACTGGACCCAGAGCAGCTGAGGAGAGACTACGGCGCCCTGCTGGGACACCCCATGCCCCTGCGCTCGCTCGGCTTCAGAAACGTCCTGGACATGATCAGAGAGATGCCAGACGTGGCCTCCATCCAGTACAGACCGGACGGATCTCTGTATCTGAAGAGTGAGCAGTGCCATGTCTAAACCAGGACTAAACCAGGACTAAACCAGGACTAAACCAGGACTAAACCAGGACTAACCAGGACTAAACCAGGACTAAACCAGGTCTAAACCAGGACTAAAAAACCAGGACTAAACCAGGACTAAACCAGGTCTAAACCAGGACTAAACCAGGACTAAACCAGGTCTAAACCAGGACTAAACCAGGACTAAACCAGGTCTAAAACCAGGACTAAACCAGGTCTAAACCAGGAAACCAGGACTAAACCAGGTCTAAACCAGGACTAAAACCAGGTCTAAACCAGGACTAAAACCAGGACCTAAACCAGGTCTAAACCAGGATAAACCAGGACTAAACCAGGACTAAACCAGGACTAAACCAGGACTAAACCAGGACTAAACCAGACTAAACCAAGACTAAACCAAAACTAAACCAGGAGTAAAACCACTAAAACTTAACCAGGACTAAACCAGGTCTAAACCAGGACTAAACCAGGACTAAACCAGGACTAAAACCAGGACTAAACCAGGACTAAACCAGGTCTAAACCAGGACTAAACCAGGTCTAAACCAGGACTAAACCAGGACTAAAACCAGGTCTAAACCAGGACTAAACCAGGACTAAAACCAGGTCTAAACCAGGACTAAACCAGGTCTAAACCAGGTCTAAACCAGGACTAAACCAGGTCTAAACCAGGACTAAACCAGGTCTAAACCAGGACTAAAACCAGACTAAACCAGGACTAAAACCAGGTCTAAACCAGGACTAAACCAGGACTAAAACCAGGACTAAAACCAGGACTAAACCAGGACTAAACCAGGACTAAAACCAAAGGACTAAACCAGGAGTCTAAACCAGGTCTAAACCAGGACTTAAACCAGGACTAAACCAGGTCTAAACCAGGACTAAACCAGGACTAAACCAGGACTAAAACCAGGACTAAACCAGGACTAAACCAGGTCTAAACCAGGACTAAACCAGGACTAAACCAGGTCTAAAACCAGGACTAAACCAGGTCTAAACCAGGACTAAACCAGGACTAAACCAGGTCTAAACCAGGACTAAACCAGGTCTAAAACCAGGACTAAACCAGGACTAAACCAGGTCTAAACCAGGACTAAAACCAGGACTAAACCAGGACTAAAACCAGGACTAAACCAGGTCTAAACCAGGAGTAAAACCAGGTCTAAACCAGGACTAAAACCAGGACTAAACCAGGACTAAACCAGGACTAAACCAGGACTAAACCAGGACTAAACCAAACTAAACCAGGGTAAAACCAGTCTAAACCAGGACTTAACCAGGACTAAACCAGGTCTAAACCAGGACTAAACCAGGACTAAACCAGGACTAAACCAGGACTAAACCAGGACTAAACCAGGGCTAAACCAGGTCTAAACCAGGACTAAACCAGGACTAAACCCTAAACCACTCTAAACCAGGACTAAACCAGGACTAAAACCAACTAAACCAGGACTAAACCAGTCTAAACCAGGACTAAACCAGGACTAAACCAGGGACTAAACCAGGACTTAAACCAGGACTAAACCAGGACTAAACCAACCACTCTAAACCAGGACTAAACCAAGTCTAAACCAGGACTAAACCAGGTCTAAACCAGACTAAAGGACTAAAACCAGGACTAAAACCAGGACTAAAACCAGGACTAAAACCAGGACTAAACCAGGACTAAAACCAGGACTAATCTAAACCAGGACTAAAACCACAACTAAACCAGGACTAAACCAGGACTAAACCAGGTCTAAAGCAGGACTAAAACCAGGTCTAAACCAGGACTAAACCAGGATTAAAACCAGTTCTAAACCAGGACTAAACCAGGACTAAACCAGGATTGAACAGGACTAAACCGTGCTGTGTGGACGTGTCTCCTCCTCTTCTATTAATAATATTTTTAATAAGGTTTAGTAAAGTCTGGGCTTTTCATTGTTTTTTTAGCAGACAAAACATCTCATGTGAAGATTTCCTCGTCTTTGCTTCTCTACAGAAAATCAAGTAATCCGTAGTACTCAGATTACGTTAGTCACTTGAAGTAATTTAATGGATTATGTTACAAACTACATTTTGGGGTATGTAATCTGTAATCTGTAGGGGATTACATTTTAAAAGTAACATTCCCAACACTGCAAAAGTATTAATGTAAAAGGGTTAGGGTTTTTCGCACTTCTGGCCGTTGTGAAAAAGGTTTATATTAGGGACGGGCATGATTAGTCGATTAATCGATAATTGATCATTAAGAATTTCATCGATTACGTTAATTTTAATCGACAAACTGAATGTATGTTGCTGTGTGTCGTGATCAAACAGGTGTGTACATGTGTCTCTGCATCAGAAGGAGCGAGACACAAACAGTGGGTCAGTCTGTAACGAACCGAAGCACAAATGTGGATTTAACCATGATTTGTACAAGAAATTCCACACTTTCTGTTGCGTTCGGGACAAGTGTGAGTCCATGTGCACAGTGTATAAAGCAGCACATATGTTTCTGTGTCCAGTGGGAAAAAGTTTTTCCAGGTGAGAGTCGCTCAATGTGGATGACGAGGCCCCGCCCCCCTCCCCCCGTACGCTGTCCTGGTTTTGACAAACGCAAATCTGGTCACACTAACCTGTATTCACCTGAGTCATGTCTTTTAATCCGACAGAAATTGAACCACATCAGCGACACAAGAGCTGGAGTTTTATCGTCACTGAGTTTATGCAAATTAGCGATGTGGTTTTAAGTTTAGTTTCTGTGAGATTTGAACAAAACTGAATTAAACACATTATAATGTCAAACGGGCTGATGTGGCTCTAGAGTCGTAAAGTTGAATTTATTTATGCAGATTAGTAGTGCAGATTGTAATAATAATGATGATCATTTTAATATAAAAACGTTAATGATTAATCGATAATCGATCGTTAATTCTTCCGACGATCGATTAAGAAAATTTCATCGAATGCCCGTCCCTAATCCAGGGTATCTCCAGGTTTGACTTCCCCAAATTTAAGACTTTTTTAAAGCCCTTTTAAAGACCACTTAAATGAAAATGAAGACCAACATCATTATGCGGGCGGAAAACACCAGATCCAATTCTAACAATGACCAACCAACTACAGCACTGTATCTAGAATCTAAGAGCCACTGTGGATTAAACCTGCACTTCCCCATGATCCATCCAACGTCTTCTTCCACTCTACTGATTGTTTATTCATTGCCGCCGGCACCAGAAACAAAAATATTGTTTGTGAATACTCCAAATTAGACGTTCATTCCAGTAACATGATTTCATGTTGTTGTTTTTTCCCTCCCTCCATTAGTTTTGTTTCTGTGAGATTTGAACAAAACTGAATTAAACACATTATAATTTCAAACAGCTGATGTGGCTCTAGAGTCGTTACGGTTTATATGTCGTAAAGTTGAATTTATTTATACAGATTAGTGCAGATAGTAATAATAATGATGATCATTTTAATATAAAAACGTTAATGATTAATCGATAATTGATCGTTAATTCTTCCGACGATCGATTAAGAAAATTTCATCGAATGTCCATCCCTAGTTTATATTAAGTTCATGTTTGTGTTTCCGTGCAGCTGTGAGCGACGAGACGACGCGTGACCTGGAGGAGCTGGTGTCCCGGCAGCGCACGTCTCCGGCCGACAGGAAGCGACTGCAGAAGAAGTTGGGGAGCTTCTTCTCCTCTCGATACGACCCCGGCCCCAACCAGCTCCTGCCGCTGCCCAGGAGGGGGCGCACTCCTCCCGCTCTGCCCGCACAGCTCCGGGCACAGCTGCGCACACACACACGCTCACACGGACTCTACACACACACACGGACAGATACACACACACACACACACACACACAGCACGGACAGATACACACACACACACGGACAGACACACACACGGACAGATATACACACACACACACACGGACAGATACACACACACACACGGACAGATACACACACGGACAGATACACACACACACACACGGACAGCACACACACACACACGGACAGATAACACACACACACACACGGACAGATAACACACACACACACACACACACACACACGGACAGATCGGACAGATACACACACACACACGGACACACGGACAGATAACACACACACACACACACACACACACACACACACACACACGGACAGATAATACACACACACACACACACACACACACGGACAGATACACACACACACACACGGACAGATACACACACACACGGACAGACACACACACACGGACAGATACGGACAGATACACACACACACACACACGGACAGATACACACACACACACACACACACACACACGACACACACACACACACGGACAGATAACACACACACACACGGACAGATAACACACACACACACGGACAGATACAGATACACACACACACACACACACACACACACACACACACACACACACACGGACAGATAACACACACACACGGACAGATAACACACACACACACACACACACACACGGACAGATAACACACACACACGGACAGATACACACACACACACACGGACAGATACACACACACACACACGGACAGATACACACACACACACACGGACAGATACACACACACACACACGGACAGATACACACACACACACACACACACGGACAGATAACACACACACACGGACAGATAACACACACACACACACACACACACACACACACGGACAGATAACACACACACACACACGGACAGATAACACAACACACACACACACGGACAGATACACACACACACACACACACACACGGACAGATACACACACACACACACACACACACACACACACACACACGGACAGATAACACACACACACACGGACAGATAACACATACACACACGGACAGATAACACACACACACACGGACAGATAACACACACACACACACACACGGACAGATAACACACACACACACGGACAGATAACACACACACACACGGACAGATAACACACACACGGACAGATAACACACACACACACACACACACACACACGGACAGACACACACACACGGACAGATACACACACACACACACGGACAGAACACACACACACGGACAGATACACACACACACACACACACACACACACACGGACAGATACACGGACAGATACACACACACACACACACACACACACACGGACAGATACACACACACACACACACACACACACACGGACAGATAACACACACACACACGGACAGATGGACAGACGGACAGATACACACACACACACGGACAGATAACACACACACACGGACAGATAACACACACACACACACGGACAGATAACACACACACACAGGCACACACGGACAGATCACACACGGACAGATACACACACACACACGGACAGATCACACGGACAGATACACACACACACACACACACACACACGGACAGATAACACACACACACACGGACACACACACACACACGGACAGATAATACGGACAGATAACACACACACACACGGACAGACACACACACACGGACAGATACACACATACGGACAGATAACACACACACGGACAGATAACACACACACACACGGACAGACACGGACAGATACACACACACACACACACGGACAGGTAACACACACTATCGCAGTGATTTTAGTGAATTTGCATGAAGAAAAACGAAAAACCCACCACTTCAATCCAGGTTAAAAAAGCTTTGTAACACGTGTTACTCACATTTGTACCGAGTAAAATATTACATTTTTCCCCCTGTAATGCCACATTACTGCGTTACAGCAAAAAGCAACACATTACAGTAATTTGTTACTTTTATAACATGTTACTCCCAGCAGTGTTAAGCAATACGATATATCGATATTTAGATAATTTTGCAAACCCTTAATCCTCTTTGCACAGGGCCCGGTTCTTCTCTCTCAGCTGGAGTCCTGTTTCCTGTTGCGTTTTGGTCTCCCCCTGCGCCTCCACTCTTACGGCTTCTACTCCACGGCCGAGATGCTGGAGGCTGCGTCGGACCTGCTCGCCGTCAGCCAGAGCCGACTGGGCTCCATGGTGTCGCTGCGGGGACAGATGCTCCCCAGGCCCCTGTGCGTCGTGAACACACCCACCCCACCCAAACCGGCGCTGGGGAGGGTCCTCAAACCGCAGCCAAAACCTCCAGGAACCAAAGCACCCGTCACAGACTCACAGGTGTCCGAGGCCCGACCCGGTGCCGCGGAGACAGCGCCCGCCCCCACAGAGTCTGAGGGGGTGGAGCCGGAGAGGGCGGGGCAGGCGAGGTCGCTGAGTGAGCCGTCGTCCGGAGGCGGGTCCATGCCTGAGCTCATAGAGAACATCACAGAGAACCAGGAGGAGCCGTGCTTCAAGGACCGAGTGCTCAAGGTAAGAACCAAACTACTTCCTCATTTTCAGCTCTGAACATACACACTATAGAGGCTTTGCACCGTCACGTGTCCCCTATAACAACAGTACCTACACCGCCATGACACCGGACAACACTATGTCATTGACTTCAGCAGCATCGGAGAAACATGGGCAGGTTTTGTTGTGTATTTGGTTGTTCTAGATCTCAGGTGTCAAACATGTGGCTCGGGGGCCAGATCCGGCCTTTAATCTGGCCCTCGGCTGATTTTCTACTAAAATATTTTAATTCTATTTTTTCTATTAAAATCTTATTATTTTTCTGTGGTGTTTATCACAGCAGCGTCTCCAGCGTCTCTGTACGTGGCCCCTCCCACCAGAGCAGCACAAATGAAGACTTGTCTCTTTCCAAACGCTCTTAAAGGACGATCGTTTTGACTGTTGACCGTGACACCCTCATCAGAAAAATGTCCAACATGAGAAAAGTGGAGCCGAGTGCAGGATTTTATAAGAAAAATTTACTTATTCCTATTTATACAAGTTAATGTTAAACAAGTTCATGTTAAAACTTTGTGTTGAAATTTTATTTTTCTTAAAGTTTCAGGTTGTTCATAATATTATAATATTTTGTAAAAGAAAGAGTTCATCAATTAAAAAAGATTTCTGTAATAGATTTGTGTTTCTCTGCACAAATATTTGAACTTACTGTTATTTTTGGGGTTTATATGACATGAGTTTTCTGATCCGGCCCCTTTGGGATCAAAGTCGGTTGGATACAGCCCCCAGACCAAAATGAGTTTGACACCCCTGTTCTAGATGCTCTGAAAGGGATAAAATGAATTGTTTCTTCACTGTTCCTCTGGAAACGACTCATCAGGATCAAACAAGGGAATTATCGAAAAAAAGACGCGGATTATAGCTAGCAAATGTAAACCGCAAAGAGATTTCCTATTGTACCATCAAGACACCCGAAGTTTCATCAAGGTATTTGTTATTTAAATAGTTTCATAACTTATTTAATGAAAGAAGCACATTTACTGAACTAAAATGTCATTAATTTATCCAGGAAAACTCGCACTAGTTTACGATTCAACGAACCCACACTGGGCTCCTGTGATCAACATGACGCACGAGTCGAAGAGTCTGAGCTGAACCTCGAAAGAATCGGCCATGAAAAGATCCTCGCGAACGTTAGAAAGATCCACTCGCAAAAAACAATTAATTCTAGAAGACATAGTTGTGGATAAACAAGACAATAAAGAAAACATGGGTCCTACAACGAGTGACATGTTTATATGTGCGCTGGAAGATACAGTTTCTACTGCCACTCACACTGCAAATGTTTTCTTTTTACATTTTAGTTCAGTAAATGTGCTTCTCTCATTAAATAAACTATGAAACAATTTAAATAACAAATACCTTGATGAAAGTGACGTGAGTGTGTCTTGATGGTACCATTGGAAATCTCTTCACGGTTTATGTTCTCTAGACATAATTCCCATTTTTTTCCCCAATAATTCCCTTGTTTGAGCTCCTGATGAGTAATTTCCAGAGGAACAGTGAAGAAACGAATCGTTTTTATCTCGTTCAGAGCGTCTAGAAGAACCAAATACACAACAAAACCTGTCCATGTTTCTCCGATGCTGCTGAAGTCAGTGACATAGTGTGCCCGGTGTCATGGCGGCGTAGGTACCGTTGCTGTAGGGGACACTTGAAGGTGCAAAGCCTCTATTCACCTGTGGACGTTTGGTGATTTGTAACAATTGTGGAGGATGCCTGAGATCTTGTCCAAAATCGCCATGTCTGTAATTTGTAAAGTAGAAATTCTGTCGCAAATTATCTACTATATTTCACCAAAAGGCCTATTCATACAGGATAAGTACAACCTGGGGACGTCTGGTCATTTGCAAATTACCGCCTCACCTCTGTGCTAAACAAAGTCCGTGAATTACTCTTTTTTTGCTGACATTGACACAGAGATTGAAAAAGAAAAGAACACAGAAAGAAAAGAAAGAGACAGAAAAGGCGCAATTACAACAACAAACACTGAGATACAGATTCACACAGGACTCGTATTATCACCGGACGTCTGTGTTTGGCGAAATGCAGCGGGTCATTTGCAGCGGAATTTTTACTTTACAAATTACAGACATGGAGCATTCGCACGGGATTAAGATCTCAGGCGTCCTCCGCAATTATTACAAATCACCAAAAGTCCACAGGTAAAACTAATCCCAGTGCAAATAGGGCTTATGTTTTCTTTCAGTCTCAGTCAGTGTCAGTAAAATAGAATGATTTACAAACTTTTCTTATCCCGTGGAAATGTGCTGCAGGCGTTCCCCCGTGCAAATAGGGTTGTAGGCTGTAAATCTAAGTGGTCATCTCTAACCCGCTAGTCGCCGCGTTCCATATAGAACATGAGCATGGGCGCACCTCCGGCTCCACCGATTCTGGTACCAATTTACTTTACACTGAAAAACCATCGCCTCATTGGTCGATTTATAACAGAATGAGAACTTCACGCGTCAGTTACTTGAGACGGGTGCGTTGGAGGAGAAGGAGCAGCCCAAGAACAAAGAGAAAAATCCCTCGCTCCGTCTTACTTGCAAAGACGGTGTGTGGGATCTTTCTCTATGTTCGATTTACAACAGACCAACAAACGTTTCCGGTGGAGGGTCCGCTACCTACTTGTCTCCAAGGAGGTGTTATTGCTTTCCCTGGTATGTTCCATGGTATGACTTTAAACACTTCCATCTAGGACTGTCGCAATAACCGCAAAAATGAATCACATGACCAACGTGACCTGACCCAGAGTCCTGCACGCGTCCATTTTTAGAGACCCGCACCCACACGGACCTGTTAATATTCCACCCGTTACCGCCCGCGCCCGTGATAACCCAGCACTAACCTAGGACTAACCTAGGACTAACCGAGGACTAAGGTGCACCCGCGTAGACCGCCAGGTGACCGCAGGCGAAAGGACCGGCGTAGAGCTCCGCGCCGCACGGAGGTAAAAGCTGCTATCACCCGATTGCACTTTGCAGACACACTGCTCCGTGTGCTCTTTCAAGTCTGCAGGTACCTGACCTGGTGCAGGACTCTGACCCGAACCGCTGCAGGACCCGAGCTGCCACTGTGAGAGCTGGAGAGATGCAGCAGCACTTGTTCCAAAGCCAAATGTTACTTCTCCCACACACACACTACACACACTGTATCCACACGACAACCAAGGTACATGTGCATCTGCAACAAGCGCAACATCAGAGCCACTGAAAATATTACAACTCCGGGGGATGTGGGGTGGAGGAGGGGTGCGATATCACCGCATACCGCGCTGTTGAGCCACAATACTTCACCGCAGGAGAAATTCCCTAACCGCGACAGCCCTACTTCCATCTAGCATTTATTTATTACGGGTGTTTCTATTGTTCAAATAATACAGTCATCCCTTCTATGAACAGGCACGACTCTCCACAGATTTGAACTGTAATAGATGGGTTTAATTTATACTGTGGAACATTCTCTAGAAAGCAATAACATTCCATGGAGACAAGCAGGTGGCAGATCCTCCACTAGAAATGTTATACGGTGCACCTCTTAAGAAAGCAAAGTAAATAAAAGCTGATTATAATAACACTGAACAAACAGGAATATTGAAAACTCTGATCCGTAACGTGTTTGTTTCAGCTGGAGGAGGAATTTCGCAAACAAATCCAGGAGAATGGAGTCGCCGGAACCATAAGTCAGACTTTAAAAGACAAACTCCAGAAGGTGACAGCAGCTGACCTTTTAAAATAACATTTACGTAACAAAAAAAATGCAGGAGTAGAGGAGAGCGGCGACCGTAATCTGAAACACGACTGTTCCAGGTGGTAGCGCAGTGTCCCGGCGGAGTGTCCGTCCACGACCTCCCGGCGAAGTACCAGGTAACTCCTCCTCTGCCCCACTCTGTGCCCGAATGTCTCGCCCAGCCCTAACCCCCTCGCTCACTACACAGACCTGAAGACCTACACAGAACATTCACAATTGAGCCTCACTCGCAGAGAGATTCAGACACGCAGCTCACCTGCAGTCAGGTCACGAAAGGCTAAACTCTGATTAAACTTAATTTCTAACTGACAGCGAAGATGACCGAGCTTGTAGTACAAAAGCTTACTGCAATAGAGTAAAAAGCAGTAAAAAAAAAGTCTGAGGCAATTATAATAAAAGTCATAATTACATGGGATTGCATTAACATTGTTTGTGCTTTTAAAACTTTATTTCTGTCATAAATAATCATTAGTTCAGACACAAGTGTTTATGGACTAATAATAACCAGACAGGTTTTTGTCATGATGGATTTCACGTAAACCGACTTGATTATTTGCTTTTAGACCATCGGGGGTGACCGCAGGGTTCACTGTTCAGTCCAGTTCAGGGTTTCCAGGGTTCAGTCCTGTTTTAGTCTTGGTTCAGCTCTGGTTCAGCTCTGGTTCAGCTCTGGTTCAGCTCTGGTTCAGTCCTGTTTTAGTCCTGTTTTAGTCCTGGTTCAGCTCTGGTTCAGTCCTGGTTTGGTTTTGTCCTGGTTCAGCTCGTTTTCAGTCCTGGTTCAGTCCTGGTTCAGTCCTGTTTCAGTCCTGTTTCAGTCCTGTTTCAGTCCTGTTTTAGTCCTGGTTCAGCTCTGGTTCAGTCCTGGTTTAGTCCTAGTTTAGTCCTGGTTTAGTCCTGATTCAGTCCTGGTTTAGTCTTGGTTCAGTCCTGATTTGGTTTAGTTCTGGTTCAACTCTGGTTCGGTCCTGGTTCAGCTCTGGTTTAGTCCTGTTAGTCCTGCTTTAGTCCTGTTTTAGTCCTGTTTCAGCTCTGGTTCAGCTCTGGTTCAGTCCTGGTTCAGTCTTGGTTCAGCTCTGCTTCAGTCCTGTTTTAGTCCTGTTTTAGTCCTAGTTCAGCTCTGGTTCAGTCCTGGTTCAGTCACTCTGGTTTCAAAATACAATAACATTTAGTCTCATAGTCCTTCAAAATAAAATCGTTCCTATGAAATATTTCGCTTTGCTTTTTCATCATCATCACCTTCATCTTCGCTGAAACTGTGAAAAACTTTACCTTAGCCCAGGGAGCCCCCACACCAAGATGGCGGCTGTATTATCACATGCAAAGAGACATTTAGATATTTAATGTGACTGTAAGACACTCCGCCGGTCTCTTTTCAGTCTGTGGATCATAAACTGTGTTAAATCTGCGCTCCTCAGATGCTGTTTGGAGAAGAGCTCCCCCTGCTGGAGAGCGGCTTCGTCAGCGTCACAGAGATGGTGGGGGCCATGACGGACGTTTTTCACCTCCGGTCGGTCGGAGAGAGAGGAGTTTCACACAGCTGGACGGTGACGATACAGGAGGAGGAGGAGGGCGCTCGCACAGGTAACAGCTGAGAAACTACTGAAAATGGATCGGATTAGGGGTGTGCAAAAATATCATGGGCTACTGTATTGATATTAGGGATGGGCATTCGATGAAACTTTCTTAATCGATCGTCGGAAGAATTAACGATTGATTATCGATTAATCATTAATGTTTTTATATTAAAATGATCATCATTATTATTACTATCTGCACTACTAATCTGCATAAATAAATTCAACTTTACGACATATAAACTGTAACGACTCTAGAGCCACATCAGCTGTTTGACATTATAATGTGTTTAATTCAGTTTTGCACAACTCTCACAGAAACAAAACTTAAAACCGCATCGCTAATTTGCATAAACTAAGCGAAGATAAAACTCCAGCTCTTGTGTCGCTGATGCGGTCAATTTCTGTTGGATTAAAAGACATGACTCAGGTGAATACAGGTCAGTGTGAACATATTTGCGTTTGTCAAAACCAGGACAGCGTACGGGGGGAGGGGGCGGGGCCTCGTCATCCGACATTGAGCGACTCTCACCTGGAAAAACTTTTTCCCACTGGACACAGAAACATATGTGCTGCTTTATACACTGTGCACATGGACTCACACTTGTCCCGAACGCAACGGAAAGTGTGGAATTTCTTGTACAAATCATCGTTAAATACACATTTGTGCTTCGGTTCGTTACAGACTGACCCACTGTTTGTGTCTCGCTCCTTCTGATGCAGAGACACATGTACACACCTGTTTGGTCACGACACACAGCAACATACATTCAGTTTGTCGATTAAAATTAACGTAATCGATAAAATTCTTAATGATCAATTGTCGATTAATCGATTAATCATGCCCATCCCTAATCGATATGTCACCAAGAGTATTTTTACGTGTGTTTTACCAAATTATTTTGTTACAGTGCTACAGTTTTGTTGCTTGTGGAGTGAAAGGAAACTCATTTATGCAACACATTTGACATTTTTACTGTTTTGATCATTAACATGTTTGTGTTTCATATGAACTTTGCACGAGAAGTGGTTTAACACGCACTTTTAGTATCACAGCCATGATTTAGCCTTTATTTTTTATTGAACTGTATCGAATCCATTTGAAATATATCTTATCGAATCGAAAGTGCACTGTATCGAGATATGTATCTTATCGTGGCCTGTGTATCGAGGTATGTATCGTATCTAGGGCTGGGTATCATTGCCGATACGATACACACCTCGATACACAGGCCACGATACGATACATATCTCGATGCAGTGAGCTTTTGATTCAGTATGATATATTTCAAATCGATTCAATACAGTTCAATAAAAAAAAAGGCTAAATCATGTCTCTGACACTAAAAGTCTTTGTTAAACCGCTTTTTGTCCAAAGTTCACATGAAACACAAACATTTTAATCATCAAAACAGTGAAAATGTCAAATGTGTTGCATAAAAAAGTTTCCTTCCTCTAAACAAACAACAAAACTGTAGCACTGTAACAAAATAATTTAGTAAAATATACCAAAAAATACTCTTGGAGATATATATTGATACAGCAGCCCACGTTATCGATACTGTATCATCACATTAAGCGATACGATATATCGATATTTCAATATTTTTGCACACCCCTAATTGTATCGGCAACTTCTTAATGATACCCAGCCCGAGATCGGACGTTGAAGTTATTATTTATTCTGTCCCTGATTTCCCTCTCCTCCAGCGTCTGAGAGTGAAGGGTTCGAGCTGCCTCCCGTCAGTTACTACTTCAGCAGTGGAGCGTCTCTGTGGGAGGCGGAGGAGGGCGAGGAGGTCCCTGCTCTGGAGCCAATCGAAGACCAGGACACAGACCGCAGCGCTAAGCCTCTCGAAACAGTTAAGGATTCAACTTTATACCTTTATAAACAGTGATGGGCGAATGGAGCCTCGTGAAGCATTGACACCTCAGTCGCAATAGGCGAGTTTCAGCTGACGTCATTGTTATTAAAAGCCCGCGTTGCTGCTGGGAAATATTTTGGTCGGAGGCAAGAAACACGGTAGTGGTCAAACACAGTGCGTAACCTCGCGTATTTCTCCCCGATAATGGTAAATTCCTGCTGCATTATCGGATGCACAAATAGAAGCACGGAAGAAGGAAAATGTCTTTTTCGTATTCTGAGTGAAAAGAACCGCTAACGGTGAATTAAACGACTTTCAAACATCCGCAGAGCAAACGTAGAAGATCCTAACAAACCGTGGACTCCAACAAGTTCAACAACACATCGAGACTCTTGGAGGTTTTCATCTTTTCTGCTGTGAATGGCCCAGGAGTTTCCACCAAGTCATTGAAGTGAATATTTGTCCAGGTAGTTGGCGATTCTGACCAGAAATTTGGTTTGGTCCACCTTTTGTCGGCGTTGAAAAGGGTGATTTGTCGTCCGTCGATGCTTATGACCAATTTCTGGTCAAATGGTCTTGGGTCCTCTGCCGTTAGAGTGGATAAATAACCGGGATCAATACCCTTTACGTGCTTTCTCGCTCCGTCCGTCATGTTGAATTAGTGTTTATTGCCGCCGACCAAAATAATTCCCAGCATGCAACGCGCACTTTTGTCAACAATGAAACTCGCCTATATTGTCTCAAATGGTTCGACGTGTCTGAGGCCTTGGAGAAACACTGACCTCTAGTGGACAAATTTAACCATTGTCACGCAGGTGTCTCAGCGTCGATGAAGTATTGTTAGTGTAAGACAATACACCGTACCTAACAACAACAATAATAATGATGATTTAAAATAATATGTAAAGAGCAACATAAATATCATGCTGTAAATAAGAAAATAGGTGTGACCTTGTGAGGTGGAATTAGATCAAACTGATCCCAAACCATGGATCGCTTTTTTCCACTTGTAGATGCCATCGAAAATGAAACAAATGCCAAAAGTCGCCAAAATCAGCACAAACGTCACACAATACTCCTCACTACCCAACATTTTTTATAAATATTGGTGCATCTTTTATACTGTAGCAGTTTAGCGCTCGTCAAACCACGGAAGTGCGCCGAACACTCTGAAGCACTCTGAACCAATCACAGAGCGGAACATTCACCGAGCCAATGAAACGCTTCGATACACTGAAGCATTGATCGACACGCAGAGCGAAGCAGTAGGGGGAGGGACCGACACTTTCACACTTTGGTGACGTGAGCGGCTGCTGCGAGACGAGCTCCGAGGCAGCGCTCCGGAGCAATTTGTTTCAGAAAGAACGAGACGTGCTCTGGAGCTCCGTCTCATTTGCCCGTCACTAGTTATAAACAGTCCCGTGTCTCTAGAATAGCTCGCATTAACCAACAGTTTTTCACCGTAATTTCTGGACTATTAAGCGCACCTGAATATAAGCCGCATCAACTCAATTTTAAAAGGAAAAAAAAAAGTACATATACTGTCCGCACTTGTCTTTAAGCCGCAGGTGTGTCCACGTCTTCAAGAACGTTTTCAAGTTCGGTCGTCTGCTTTTATCGTCCCTGAAGCTTTTGTCGTCTTTTTGCGTTGAGTCAGTTCGTCACGCTGCCGTCGCCAAAGTCTCACCATCGACTCACTGATGCCGAGCTCACGTGCAGCGGCTTCTTCCACAGCCACATCAGTCGCCATTAACTTCAAAGGTGTATGAAGAGAAAAAGAACTGTTCAAAACACAAATCAAACGAGCATCTTCCTCTGTGCATCACCCTGTCTCTCCCCGCGCTCTTCATGTCCTCAATCATGTCAGTGTCTTGGAGGATTTCAGCAATTTTAGGCTCTCCAGGGGGCGGGGATAGGTGCATGAATCAGGTCTGAGTGGACGTCCGGCTACTGAAGTTTGAGACGTTTCTTTTTGTGATTCACGCGCTCACCTGAGTTAACATAAACAGGTCATTAAGACGTGTCCCACTCACTAATGTTCATTTAGCATCAGGACTTATTTAATCACACGATGAACTGTTTTAGTGCTGACAACAGAGCAAGCCAACACTGCAACTTGATGTTAAGTGCAACGACAGCGGTGCTTTCTACTCATCCACTGTGTTGATAAACAAATAATCCGTCCTTATATTCACCGCATCTTTGTATAAGCCGCAGAGTTCAAAATGTGAGAAAAAAGTAGCGACTTAAGGGCCGTTCAGCCTCCAGTTTATGTGTAAAGTCTATGTGGACACGCGTCTATGGCCTTCCGTGTTTTTGCTGCGCGAATCTGGTGTCGTCAATGTCAGAAGTTGAAAATGCTGAACTTTTCGCGTCAGATGCGTCACGTCAACCAATCAGGGACGAGTATCCAGGGACCTAATGACGTTATTATCAGGAAGATAAATAAAGACCCAAGAACCAGAGCGAGAGCCACAAGCATTAGCAGAGTTTAAATATATACGCCACAATCACCGAGCCGCCAGAGCTAGACCAAGACGGGACCAGGACTAGACCAGGACTAAACCAGGACTGGAACAGGACTGAACCAGTGTCATTAGCGGAGTATACATATATATACACCAGAGTAGTCGACCCGATCCCCTCCGCTGATGGTTTTATGTAATAAAAACACTAAAGTCTCTCTCAGTCTGGTCCGCCATCGTTTCGGGAAAAGACCGGGACCGGGCTCTTGTTTCCAGGGCAACGGACGCGTATCAAGTGTTTTTCTCCCATTCGTCCACGGCGTCCAAGATGCACGTCGGGGGTGTCTAAACTCAAATGCAAAGGTGTCCAAATAGAGGCGTATAGGTTTTTTTTTGACACCCTGGTCTGAACGAGCCTTTGGAGTTCGAAATTAAGGTAGTCACTCTCACCATGAACCAGGACCATGAACTGGACTGATCACACGCTCCTGAAAATGTTTTAATCCACTGTTGAATTTTCAGACTATCTTAAAACTTTTTAGCAGTGTTCGCTGCCTGTTGTCACCATTAGATATACATGCAGAACAGCCCCAGCATGATGTCACTGCAAAATATCAATATGACCCATCCCTGTTTAACCCCACCGCCTCTCTCTCTGCTGTAGCCCTACCCCTCCATCCAGGTGCACAGTTGCCCCCTGGTGCCGCTGGACGCCCTGCAGTGCCAGCGCCTGCGGCCGCCCACGCCCCACGCCCCTCGGGAGCTGGCGGCCGTGTTCGTGGAGGAGGTGGAATCTCCCGGAAACTTCTACATCCGCTTCAGTGACACGGAGGAGGCCCGCGCCTTGGAGGACATGATGATCGAGATGAGGTGAGGACACGAGAGGAGGCGGCCGTGCTCTGTGTGTAGAGAACATGTGAAAGTACAGGTCCAGACTGGAGACACACACCAGGAGACGATGCAGTTAATAACATTTAATCCATAATATTGTGACCAGATTTTCTTTTTTTATGTATGATTTATTTATTCTTTTTCAAAATATAAAAGACAAATTACATAAAGGTGTATAATATTCAAGGCTGGTATACAATGTAAATAGTTCACAATTTACACACCTTGAAAAACAAAAACAAAAAAAAAACAGAAAAAGGGCCTACAAAAAAGGCCAAAGACAAAAAAAAAACAAAAAAAAACACAGCATATGTGCTACTAAAACATTTATCTTAGATTATATCAATCACTTGATACCCATGAATACATGCTATAGGACAGCACAGCTCATCGGGTCACCTGTCAGAGACATTACATGATCAATAAAAGGTAACCAGGCTTCAGTAAATTTAGAGCCAGAGCCTTTGAGAGAGTGTCTTATTTTTTCCAGTTTCATAAATGAAAGGGCGTCTTTTATCCACTGGGAGTGAGTGGGTGGGTGAGGGTCTTTCCAGCGCATTAGGACAAACCGCCTGGCCAACAGCGTAAGAAAAGCCACCAGGTCAACAAAACAGGGTGACAAGGAGTGACCGGCTGGAAGAATCCCAAAGAGAGCAGTCAGTGGGGACTGGCAAACTCTAGCATTGCAAACAACTGATAGAGACTCAAAAATAGTTTTCCAATATGTTGATAATGCAGGACAGGTTAGAAACATGTGAGTGAGATTAGCTGGGCCCGATTTGCATTTTACACAGTTAGGATCAGTGCCTGGGAAGATTCGGGCACGCTTACTCTTTGACCAGTGCACTTCACTCTATGGACCACTTTACATTGAATGGTGCAGTGTTGGGCGCAGATTGAAGAAGAGTGGACGTGCCTGAGGACGGACCTCCACTGTTCCTCATCAATCTCCACACCAAGTTCCTCAGACCAGACCACACGAAGATGATCAGATGTTACTTTGAGAACGGAAAACAGTAGGCTATATATTTTGGAAACTGGTGACCAGATTTTCAAAATAAAAAACTGGGACATGCGTGGTTTGGGTTGGTTGGGTTGATGGGGAGAAAGAGGCGAGTGTGCTTAACGGCCTCTGACCAGCAGCTGTCCCGTTGTACTCCCCTGTTGCAGACGGTGCTACTCGTATACGGAGGTGTCCAAGCGTTACCGTCTCCCTCCTCCGTTGGTGCGTCGGGGGCAGGCGTGCTGCATCTCGCCCAAAGGGATGTGGTTCTACCGCGTGGTGATCCATCGGGTGCTCAGCTCGTCTCAGGTCGAGGTTTATTACGTCGACTTCGGGGCCATCATGGCGGTCCAGACCTCGCAGCTCAAACTCCTCAAGTGAGAGAACGGGGAAGACAACACAAATACACAACATCTGTATTCAGAAACACATTTAAATACAGTTTATGTGATGTATTAAAATAAACACAGCCTTTACTCACAAACACACGGGTCAAATACGGGATCTGTGATGTATTAAAGGTCCAATAATACACAAAACTGATTCTTATAATGTCAATACCTCCTCAAAAACAGACCTGGAGTTGTGTTTTGTTTCATTCACACATGTCTGAGTAATCATCTTTTATTAGTCTGTCTGCACCTCCAAAACTCAGAATGCTCTGTTCAACCTTGTGATGTCATGAAGTGGTAGTCTTCAAGTGAACAGCTCCTTTTTTACCTGTAGTTCAGTAGAGATTCCAGGGATTCCATTAAGAAGTTGCTGATTCGATACGTATCCCGATACACAGGCCTCGATATACCGTATTTTCCACACTATAGGGCGCACTCTTAAGCCTCCAACCGCATCAAAAAACGACTGCGCGCCCCACAATCCAGAGCGCCCCATACACGAATCCACTCAGGCGTCCCAGCACGACTTCTGTGAACTACAAAGCCGCAAACACACACGGAGCAGACAGCGACCGCGCGGCGAAACACACCCACAGACGCACTCATCACTCCACGCCGGTGAGAAACAGAACGGAGGAACGAACCGAAAAAGCGAGCGCGATGTGCCGCTTCTAGACACAACTGAACAACTGAGTCACTGCGTACACGCCGACAATCCGTTGGTCCCAGACGGCACCCTCCCTACACGCCACAACTGAACAAAGCCCAGAGTCACCGTGAACGAACAAACAAACAAAACCACTCACCCATCACACTGTTGTGTTTCCTTTAAAGTCCCACGTGGTTTATTTGTGAAAAAAGTTCAAAAACAGACCATTCTATGACAGTGCGCCATATAATCCAGAGCCCCTAATAGTGCGGAAAATACGGTAATACATTTTTCGATACAGTGCACTTTCGAATCAGCACGATTCGTTACAATATAGTATTTCAAATCGATTCGATACTGTTCTGTGAAAAACAAAGGCTAAATCATGGCTGTGATACTAAAAATCTACAAAGTCTGTGCAAAGTTGATGTGAAAAACACCCATTTTCTCATCAAAACAATGATAATGTCAACACAATTGTAGCTCTTAGACAAAATAATTTAGTCAAATACACCTAAAATTATTCTTGGAGCTATATTGACACAGCCTATGGAACCTTTTTTATGCGACACCTTTGACATTTTCACTGTTTTGATGATTAAAGTGTTTGTGTTTCATGTGAACTTTGAACAAAAAGTGGTTTAACAAAGACTTTTAGTATCACAGACATGATTTAGCCTTTATTTTTATTGAACTGTATCGAATCGATTTGAATTATATCGTATTGAATTGAAAGCTCACTGTATCGAGATATGTATCGTATCATGGCCTATATATCGAGGTATGTATCGTATCGGCAACTTCTTAATGATACCAGCCCTAAACGATACGATATTGGGGTAACTGCGGGGTCTTAAAAGTCTTAAAAAGGTCTTAAATTTCATGTTCCTAAATTAAGGCCTTAAAATGTCTTAATTATGTTGTTCAAGTCGTATTTTTTTCATAAAAGGTCTTAAATTTCATTAGGTTATATTTTGTTTACTCAACTTGGCTGCAGTGCAACGTTAAATGGAGGGAGGGAAAAAACAACAATATGAAATCATGTTACTGGAATGAACGTCTAATTTGGAGTATTCACAAACAATATTTTTGTTTCTGGTGCCGGCGGCAATGAATAAACAATCAGTAGAGTGGAAGAAGACGTTGGATGGATCATGGGGAAGTGCAGGTTTAATCCACAGTGGCTCTTAGATTCTAGATACAGCGCTGTAGTTGGCTGTAGTTGGTTGGTCATTGTTAGAATTGGATCTGGTGTTTTCCGCCCGCATAATGAGTGCGATGTTGGTCTTCATTTTCATTTAAGTGGTCTTTAAAAGGGCTTAAAAAAAGTCTTAAATTTGGGGAAGTCAAACCTGGAGATACCCTGGATTAGGGATGGGCATTCGATGAAATTTTCTTAATCGATCGTCGGAAGAATTAACGATCGATTATCGATTAATCATTAAAGTTTTTATATTAAAATGATCATCATTATTATTACTATCTGCACTACTAATCTGCATAAATAAATTCAACTTTACGACATATAAACTGTAATCACTCTAGAGCCACATCAGCTGTTTGACATTATAATGTGTTTAATTCAGTTTTGTTCAAATCTCACAGAAACAAAACTTAAAACAGCATCGCTAATTTGCATAAACTCAGTGAAGATAAAACTGCAGCTCTTGTGTCACTGATGTGGTTCAGTTTCTGTCGGATTAAAAGACATGACTCAGGTGAATACAGGTCAGTGTGACCAGATTTGTGTTTGTCAAAACCAGGACAGCGTACGGGGGGAGGGGGGCGGGGCCTCGTCATCCACATTGAGCGACTCTCACCTGGAAAAACTTTTTCCCACTGGACACAGAAACATATGTGCTGCTTTATACACTGTGCACATGGACTCACACTTGTCCCAACGCAACGGAAAGTGTGGAATTTCTTGTACAAATCATCGTTAAAAACACATTTGTGCTTTGGTTCGTTACAGACTGACCCACTGTTTGTGTCTCGCTCCTTCTGATGCAGAGACACATGTACACACCTGTTTGGTCACACTACAGCAACCTACATTCAGTTTGTCGATTAAAATTAACGTAATCGATGAAATTCTTAATGATCAATTATCGATTAATCGACTAATCATGCCCGTCCCTACCCCGGATATATTGATATTTCAATTTTTGTGCACACGCATAAGGATGAAATAATCCAAATGATTCTAGTGAAGGTGTATGGAGTCTAAAAACACAGTGGAGCCCTTCCTGTATCGCCCCATGACCCCCCATGATCCGAAGGTGGGGTTTGTGTATTAAACATGTGTGAATGAAACAAAACAAAACTCCAGGTCTGTTTGTGACATTATAACAAAGATCAGAAAATAGAGTAATATGGGACATTTATTAAAATAAACACGAACTTTACTCACAAACACAGAGGTTAAATACGGTTTATCTGAAATATTACAGACAGTATTATAACGCAGAGTTCTGGTGTGTGCTCAGGTCGTGTTACTCGGTGCTTCCCGCTCAGGCTGTGCCCGCTTCACTCGTCGGAATCAAACCAACAAACGTGAGTCGGAGTCGTCTTTTCTCACTGTAGCAGCCTTTGCTGAATAAAAGTTCATACAGACAGACGAATGTGCCTTTTACATGTATTTATTTGCCACGCACATAGTCACCGTAAGAGCTAAAAACAAATACCGTGATTAATTTACATCAAAGTCACAATATATTTATAAGTCATATCAACATACAGCAAACAAACACCTTTTTTCCCCGATATATTACTTGACAGATTCTGTTTTTAGTTAAAGTACAACAACAGACAAGACAATAAATCAATAATAATAAATCAATAATAATAATAATAAACACAAAAGAGAAAAAAAACTAACAAAAACAAATTTACGTAAGTGAGAAAAAACTGAAAAAAAGAAAAGAAAATTTAATAATAATTTAATAATAAAATGAAAAAAAAAAAAGATATCATTGGATGGTAAAGCTGTTTAATGTCACACTGTGGAACATTCCAGGCAGCGCAGTGACGTATCCACAGTGTTGGGAAGGTGACTTTTAAAATGTAATCCCCTACAGATTACAAATTACATACACCAAAATGTAGTTTGTAACATAATCCATTAAATTACTTAAAGTGAGTAATGTAATCTGAATACTTTGGATTACTTGATATTGTCATGCGTTTTAGTTTAGTTCTGGTTTAGTTCTAGTTTAGTTCTGGTTTTAGTCCTGGTTTAGACCTAGTTTACTTTTAGTTTTAGTCCTAGTTTAGTTTTAGTCCTGGTTTAGTCCTAGTTTAGTTCTGGTTTTAGTCCTAGTTTAGTCCTAGTTTAGTTCCAGTTTAGTCCTAGTTTAGTTCTAGTTTAGTTCTAGTTTTGCCCTGGTTTTAGTCCTGGTTTAGTCCTAGTTTAGTTCTGGTTTAGGTCCTGGTTTAGTTCTAGTTTAGTCCTAGTTTAGTTCTGGTTTAGGTCCTGGTTTAGTTCTAGTTTAGTCCTAGTTTAGTTCTGGTTTAGGTCCTGGTTTAGTTCTAGTTTAGTCCTGGTTTAGTTCTAGTTTAGTCCTAGTTTAGTTCTGGTTTAGGTCCTGATTTAGTTCTAGTTTAGTCCTGGTTTAGTTCTAGTTTAGTCCTAGTTTAGTTCTGGTTTAGGTCCTGGTTTAGTTCTAGTTTAGTCCTGGTTTAGTTCTAGTTTAGTCCTAGTTTAGTTCTGGTTTAGGTCCTGATTTAGTTCTAGTTTAGTCCTAGTTTAGTTCTGGTTTAGTTCTAGTTTAGTCCTGGTTTAGTTCTAGTTTAGTCCCAGTTTAGTTCTGGTTTTAGTCCTGGTTAAGCCCAAAATGTGAAAACAGGAAAATCCCGCCGTGTAATCCATTTATTTCAACGAAGTAACTGTAATCCAATTACCACTCACTGAAACAGTAACTGTAACTGAATACAGTTACTCATCATTTGTACTCTGATTACGTAACTTTGGTACATGTAATCTGTTACTCCCCAACACTGCGTATCCATAGAAACAAGCAGGTGATGACCCCCCCCCCCAACGAAAGCACCTTTTCACAGCAGTTTTTAAGATGACGTGATAATAATGGCGACACTGCCCCCTCCTGGTCTCTAGCATCAATAATAACTCAACTCCAGCTGAAATTGTGTCTTCTCGTCCCTCCTCTCCCTCTGCGTTTCTGTTTCAGGGGGTCTGGAGCTCCGAGGCCACGGAGTACTTCGAGAAGCTGTGCTCGGACAAGAAACTAGTGGGCGCTCTGGACGGCTACAGCGGAGACGTGCTGCTGTTGTACCTGTGCGACACGAACACGGACCAGGACCTGTACATCCACTCGGCTCTGCTGGAGAAGGGCCACGCGACGCCCTGCAGCCTGTCCGTCAGCGCCGCGGTAAATATCTACTTGATACGAAGTGAAAATTAAACTTATCAAAACTAGAAACTGGAGTGAGCTGGTATCGATACGGAAAGAACATTACGTAACTAATAATTATTTTGTGAATTGATGGTAATAATACCGTGGGCCAACACTAGGGATGCACCGATATCACTTTTTGAAAACCGATATGAGTACGAGTATAATCATTTCTATACTTGCCGATACTGAGTATTAGGGATGGGCACGATGAGTCGATTATTCGATAATTGATCATTAAGAATTTCATCGAGTATGTTCATTTTAATCAACAAACTGAATGTAGGTTGCTGTGTGTATCGTGACCAAACAGGGTCTGTACAAATCCGTGTATCATTCCTTCATTCGTTTTTCAATATAAAACCAAAAATAAGAAAACGAAAAAAGAACAGTTTTCTTCGTTATTTGTCTCCAAAACCAAAATTTAAAAAACGGATAACGATTCGTTTTTTCAGTTTTCGATTTTGTGTTTAAATGAAGAATGGAAAAAACGGATAACGGCCGTTTCCTGTTTACGTGACTTGTGTGACGGCGATGCCGGACTTTTGCACCACATACGGACTGAATCAGGACGGATCCAGGTCTGAGACCAGAGCGGGACTGAGACCGGGACCAGACCGGAGGCTCAGAGCCCACGGCAGGGCCGGAGATCGAAGCTGAGGCTCGGACCCCGTCGAGACTCGGAGTCAAAGCTCGGAGTCCGCTCTGATCTCGGTCTGGTCCCGGTCTGTCCCGGTCTGGGTCCCGGTCTGGTCCCGGTCTGTCCCAGTCTGTCCCGGTCTGGTCCCGGTCTGGTCTCGGACCTGGATCAGTCCTGGTTCAGTCCGTATGCGGTGCAAAAGTCCGGCATCGCCGTCACACAAGTCACGTAAACAGGAAACGGCTGTTATCCGTTTATTCCATTCTTCATTTAAACACAAAATCGAAAACTGAAAAAACGAATCATTATCCGTTTTTTCATTTTGGTTTTGGAAACAAATAATGATGAAAACTGTTGTTTTTTCATTTTCTTATTTTTGGTTTTATATTGAAAAACGAATGAACGAATGATACACGGATTCGTACATGTGTCTCTGCATCAGAAGGAGCGAGACACAAACATTCGGTCAGTCTGCAATGTACCGAAGCACAAATGTGTATTTAACGATGACTTCTACAAGAAATTCCACACTTTCCGTTGCGTTCGGGACAAGTGTGAGTCCATGTGCACAGTGAATAAAGCAGCACATATGTTTCAGTGTCCAGCGGGAAAAAGTTTTTCCAGGTGAGAGTCGCTCAATGTGGATGACGAGGCCCCGCCCCCCTCCCCCCGTACGGTGTCCTGGTTTTGACAAACACAAGTCTGGTCACACTGACCTGTATTCACCTGAGTCATGTCTTTTAATCCGACAGAAATTGAACCACATCAGCGACACAAGAGCTGGAGTTTTATCTTCGCTTAGTTTATGCAAATTAGCGATGCTGTTTTAAGTTTCGTTTCTGTGAGAGTTGAACAAAACTGAATTAAACACATTATAATGTCAAACAGCTGATGTGGCTCTAGAGTCGTTACAGTTTATATGTCGTAAAGTTGAATTTATTTATGCAGGTTAGTAGTGCAGATAGTAATAATAATGATGATCATTTTAATATAAAAACGTTAATGATTAATCAATAATCGATCGTTAATTCTCTCGACGATCGATTAAGAAAATTTAATCGAATGCCTGTCCCTACTGAGTACCGATACCGATACTTTAACCCCCACCCCCATGAACATACGAGTGTGTTTACATGCACATCAGTGTCCCGGTTATGGCAGTATTCTGGATCTGCTGTTTATGTGTATAGATCTGTGACGATAACAGAATTTGCTGGACGATTAATTGACAAAGAAATTATTGCTATAAGCGATCATACTGACATTTTAAGACCAATTTCAACTATTATAATGACCATGTAATAAAAATGCAAATAAACCCTTTCAAAGATCAATAAACCTTTCTAAAGAACATTTAACACAGGAACTGTAAAACAACCAAACAACAGGTCTAAATAAAATAGACTTAAAATTAAAATATATATATTATTAAGTCTCTAACAAAATTGCCCTTAAAAGTGATTTTAATCATTGACTTGCATAAGAATATTGTGTCTCGTCTCTCTGTGGCTGCTGCTGTTGCCTCGTCATGTTGGTCTTGAAGTGTTCATATTAACCCGCGACACAGGATCCTATTTTGCTATTTTGTCAGTTTATTGATCTTGCAAATCAATAAAATCTGTCAAAGTCCAAGTTTACATTTAGTTTATCTCCTCTTGTGAAATCAGCACCTGATTTCAGACCTACATGTGTTTACTCTGTATTACTGTTAAGTTTTCCTCGTGTTTCTTCCAGCTGCGTCCCCCCGTCACACCTGTGAGTCTGTACCTGGGGGAGGGGATGGTGGACCTGCCCGAGCCTGAGTTCACCGAGCAGCCGGGACCCGCCCAGGTAAGTCCATAAGTCTGTGTTTAGAACGAGAGCCCGTATAAGAACAAGAGGAGAGCCAAATGTTAAAAAAAAAAAAAAAAAAACATTTCCGCATGTGCACGGTTTTGCAATGTCCAGTGACACAAGACCTTGTCCCATCTCCAGTGTTTAGAGCACTGTTCTGTTATGTCCCCTCAAGTCTCCTTTTATTTTTCTGTGTATGATTCTGAAATATGTACTAGGGGTGGGCGATATTTCGATATTTTAAATATATTGAGATAGTTTTTAAACTCGATATGGATTCTGACATATCGTATATATCGATATAATGCTTATATTCAATTCTGATTTCACCGCTTCGCTTGTTTACCTTCTTTCTCGTCACCTCTGCGCGTCCCCGCCTCCCTGATTTTATTCTCTCATGTCTCCTTCTCTCCTCACTATCGCCGTGAACGCCGAAAATTGGTGCCAGTGAAAAGCTTCAAGCACCACGAACCTTTTCCACCATTTACAGACAAAACCATCAGCAGCACATCCTCATATTCCACCGAGTCGCGTCCTTTAGTCCGAAAGAAGCTTAATGAGCTGAGCTGCAGGAGAAGTGCACTGTTTATGCAAATGAGCCATGCACTTAAGTTTAGTTTCTGTAAAATGTAAACACACGTGCGCAAAACTGCATTAAACTGCATTATGTCAAACGGGCTGATGTGGCTCTAGAGTCGTTATGCTTTATATATTGTAAAGTTTAGCAATGTAAAGTTTATTTATGCAGAAGATTTTAATGAATAATCTGCTGCAGTGTAATTTGTACAATAGTGTTTGGAAACGTTGGGTTTGATCTGCAGTGGATTGTGGGATTAAACCTCAGAGCTCCTCACTGCTGGATAAGAACATGGATCTATTAAAATAAGGAACATCCTGAGCTTCTTCTGCTGAAGGAGTTCATGGTTCTGTTTATGGTTTGGATAACAGAGTTAATGCAAAGATGAGCTTGAGTTGAGTTGTTTTATTTATGAATGAAAAGAAGGAAATATGTATTATTTATTTCATTTTACAGTTAAATTATTATTTATGTAATTAGGTTTTTTTGTAATCTTAAATGTTCCTGTATGAACTGCCGACCTCTGACACTTTAATAAAAAAAAAGACCTTGTGGAATTTGGCAGATTTGTTTTTGCAGTTTTCAGTTTTAGAGGGTTATTTTTTCTTGAACATAATATCGAGATATATATCGTATATCGAGATATAGCAAAATATATCGAGATATATTTTTTGATCCATATTGCCCAGCCGTAATATGTACTGTATTTTCCAGACTATAAGTCGCTCCGGAGTATAAATCACACCAGCCAAAAAATGCATAATAAAGAAGAAAAAACATATATAACACTTGACAATAAGAGACTAAGAACAGACATTTCATCTCGTAATGTGTATATGTCATGTAGTAATAACAGTAGAAGAGAGAAGAACAGACTGTTAACGTCACATATGAACAGTTCTTCAGATAAATTATAACATAAACAACAGAACAGAACAAGTTTAACAAACTCTCCATCTCACTCCAAATCACTAAATCCATTCAGTTCTTCATCCTCGGTGTCACTTCTGAACAACTCTGCCAAGTCGAGCTAAATCTCGCTTTTAGTCTGCGATGAGCTTTTGTTTTTTTTGTTTTCTTCATTGCAGTTAAAGTTTCCTCCGCTTTTCTCCAGTCCCACACACGTTTCTTTGCTCACTCCAAACTTTCTTTCTGCTACTCGATTTCTGTTTTCAGCTGAATATTTCACGACTTACAGTTTGTTAATCTGCAGAATATGATTAACAGTAGGGTGACCAAACGTCTGTTTTTCCCTGGACATGTACGTATTTTGCATCATGTCCTGGGCGTCCGGGTTTTTTTTATAAAGTGATGCAAATGTCCGGGTTTTCAGTACCGTTCATTGGGGCATTAAACTGAGCGTCTCTCGTAGCATCTGTGACTCAGAAGGAGCGAGACACAAACAGTCGGTCAGTCTGTAACATACCGAAGCACAAATGTGTATTTTACAATGACTTGGACAAGAAATTCTCCGTTTTCCGTCCCGGTCGGGACAAGTGTGAGTCCATGTGCACAGGTTGTGAGGTGAGAGTTCACTGGTCCCTCGTTTATTGCAGGGTTACGTTCTAAAAATAACCCACGATAGGTGAAATCCGCGAAGTATCAACTTTATATTTTACAATTATTATATCTGTTTTAAGTCTGTAAAACCCCTCACCACAAACTTTATACACTTTTCTCACACAGGACAGTTACAACACTTTTTACATCCTTCTTAAAACTTATTGCTGCTGTCGTCCTTTTGTTATTTTCCTCCTTCTTTATGTAATGAACTGAAGATTCATTTATTCCGTAATGGAGTCTGCAGCGCAGAGTCCTGCATGAGTCCATTTCTGGAGACCTGCAGTACAACACCGCACCCGCCAGGACAGGACCGCACCTGCCTGTTAACCCTAGATTATATCAAGCTTTTGCACTGCCTACACCACGGACTGAACTAAGACCAAACCAGGACTAACCCAGGACTGATTCCAGGACTGAAGAGGAGGACTAATCCACGACTGAACTAGGACAAAAACCAGGACTAAACCAGAACTGAAACAGGACTCACCGTCAGGACGGACTTGGAGGTGACCGCAGGAGAAAGGACCGGCTCAGCTCCGCACATCACGGACGTAAACGCGGCAATCGCCGGCGTTCTCTCTCTTAAGTCCAAGATTAGTCCTGGTTTAGACCTGGTTTAGTCCTGACTCACACATGTGTAATACACAATACGCTTTCATACACTGTAAAAAAAAAAAAAAGGTGACCTGCCCCCTTTCCCCCCAAGGTGTCCGGGTTTTCATAAACGGAAATATGGTCACCCTAATTAACAGTTTATCACCGTTAGTGAGTGGGGATTCGTCTTGATGACTCGTATGTGTTAAATGCAGGTAAGTGTGTAAATGACGAGAAAAAATGTGTCAAACCTCAGTAGCCGGACATCCAACTTATAGTCTGAGCCTGAAAAATACTGTAATTTATTGTGTTGAGATCAGGTCTACTTCTGTCTAAGGCTCATCTCTGCGTTTGACTTTGTGTATTGTTCCAGTTTGGAGGTCAGTGTCTGATGTTGGTCCATAAATTACACGGTGACCAAACAGAAGCACTTTTAATGAGCTCAGATATTTATTCCACGGGTGATGAACGGACCTGAGCTCAAAGGCCACTGTGTAGTGCAGAGGAACTACAAAGTACGAGAGGTTTAGCCAAAAACTGGACTTGAGGTTTTGTTCATTGCCAAGTTTCTGTGAGCGTTGCCTTGCATCTCCACAAACCCGAGGTGTAACATTTGTATTTTATTATGTCGGTGATGTGGACGTGAGTTTCTGTTGTACTGATTTATCTGTTTCTTCTCAGCAGGAGGAGGAGGACGAGGAGGTTCCAGGTCTGGAGTTAATTGAAAACAGTGAGATCGTCTGTCCAGTGCAGGTCTCTGTACCCACATATTTATTGAATATACTCAATTTACAACATTAGATTAATTGTTTTATTAGTTTAATCTTAAAGCTCTGTCTCTGGGTTTGTGATCAATAAAATACTTAATATTTATGTGCAGATTATTAGCACTGATGCTTCAGCCTTGTACAATGCATCTCTCCTGCTAAGGTTAATGTAAAAATTGTGCGCTGTCCCTGTCTGAAATAAATAAATAAATAAAATAAAATAAATAAGACAGAGGGGCGTTTACAATATAAAGGTCCATTCATACTGAAGCGTCAAAAAAATGCACTGGGCGCCTTTGCATTTGAGTTCAGACGCCCCCAACCCGCGTCTTGGACATTGTGGACGTCGTAGAAAAATACTTGATGCTCGTCCACGGCGTTCGTTGCCCTGGAAACAAGTGCCCGGTCCTGGTCTCGAATGATGGCAGGTCACGTTGAGAGAGAGACTTTAGTGTATTTATTACTTAAAACCATCAGCGGAGGTGATCGGCTCAGCGGCTGCAGTGTGTTTATATTTATACTCCACTAATGACACGCTAATGACTAGGGATGGACATGATTAGTTGATTAATCGATTATTGATAAGTAAAAATTTCATCAATTACATTAATTTTAATCGACAAACTGAATGTATGTTGCTGTGTGTCGTGACCAAACAGGTGTGTACATGTGTCTCTGCATCAGAAGGAACGAGACACAAACAGTGGGTCAGTCTGTAACGAACTGAAGCACAAATGTGGATTTAACGATGATTTGTACAAGAAATTCCAGGCTTTTCTGTTGCGTTGGGACAAGTGTGAGTCCATGTGCACAGTGTATAAAGCAGCACATATGTTTCTGTGTCCAGTGGGAAAAAGTTTTACCAGGTGAGAGTCGCTCAATGTGGATGACGAGTCCCCGCCCCCCTCCCCCCGTACGCTGTCCTGGTTTTGACAAACACAAATCTGGTCACACTGACCTGTGTTCACCTGAGTCATGTCTTTTAATCCGACACAAGTTGAACCACATCAGCGACACAAGAGCTGTAGTTTTAGCTTTGCTTAGTTTATGCAAATTAGCGATGTGGTTTTAAGTTTTGTTTCTGTGAGATTTGAACAAAACTGAATTAAACACATTATAATCTCAGATGGATTGATGTGGCTCTAGAGTCGTTACGGTTTATATGTGGTAAAGTTGAATTTATTTATGCAGATTAGTAGTGCAGATAGTAATAATAATGATGATCATTTAGTATAAAAACGTTAATGATTAATCGATAATCAATCGTTAATTCTTCCGACGATCGATTAACAAAATTTCATCGAATGCCCATCCCTACTAATGACACTGGTTTAGTCCTGGTCCAGTCATTGTCCAGTCCAGGTCTTTCTCTTTCTTCTCCTTCTTCCAGCTAATAAAGTCTTTTAAGTCACTGAATACTCATCCCTGATTGATCGACGCAGCACATCCAATGCCAAAAGTTTTTGACTTTTGATGCCGATGCCCTGGACACGTGTCCGGAGCACTGACGCCTGACGTCACATTCACGCTGCGCTGATGCCTGAAGACGCGCCACAAAAAAGCAACACGCCCTAGATGCTCGTCCACATAGACTTTGCAGATAAACTGGACGCCTTGACACTGCGATCTGAACGGACCTTAACCCATGAAGGAAAAAAAATACATGTTTTTGTTTACAAGAATAAAGTCAGGTGTCCTGCCTTTGAACGCATGGACCTTGATAAATAAAATAATTTAAAGCATTCCTTTCATCAGACCTCATATTTCTTTTCTTAAATTGGTCAATTTTCAAATTTTGTTGATCTAAAAAACATATACCGTATTTTTCGGGCTATTAGGGGCTCTGGATTATAAGGCGCAATGTCATTAAATGGTCTATTTTCAAACTTTTTTCACAAATAAACCGCGTGTGACTTTAAAGGAAACACAACAGTGTGATGGGTGAGTGGTTTTGTTTGTTTGTTTCGTTCACAGTGACTCTGGGCTTTGTTCAGTTGTGGCGTGTAGGGAGGTGCTGTCTGGGAGCGCTGGATTGTCGGCGTGTTCGCAGTGACTCAGTTGTTCAGTCGTGTCTAGAAGCGGCACGTCGCGCTCGCTTTTTCGGTTCGTTCCTCCGTTCCGTTCCTCGTCGGCGTGGAGTGATGAGTGTGTCTGTGGGTGTTTGTCTCTGTGCGGTCGCTGTCTGCTCCGTGTGTGTTTGTGTGTTCTGCCGGTGGTGCGGCTTTGTAGTTTACTGAAGTCGTGCTGGGACACCTGAGTGGATTCGTGTATGGGGCGCTCTGGATTGTGGGTCGCGTGCAGTCGTTTTGGAGGCTTAAGAACGCGTCTAATAGTCCGGAAAATACTGTAAAAACTTGCCTGGGACCCAGAATAGACACCTCTTTAATACTTTACAAAGATATGAGTCTGGTCACCGCTGAATCTCTGAAGTTCAGATTGGAGTGATTGACAGGTGGATCGGCCAATCAGGGACATGCACTGATTTCTGTTGAATCAGTGTACGAAGCATTAAACCCTGTTAATCTTGGGTGTGAATGTGAATTTGTTTGTAAATGAAGGTGACCAATGAGCTCCTTTGTTTCACATGCGTCACCGAAATAAACAAATCTGATTGGACGGTCTCGTTTGGTTCTGGCTCGAGGTGCGACAGAGGGACGGGGGACCAGAGTAAATATACAAATACTGTATAAATCTGTATAAAAATTTGCCTGGCAACAGTAAGAAAGCTTTTTTATAACATACCTATAAACATTTTAAATCTGTGCTCCAAACCATATACTTTTATTGACAGAAGATTGGCTGTAGAGCTCTGCATTAAAACGACCCCTTAACGACAAACCGTTACAGAAATACTTTTGTCAGCTGGTGAATAAAACGCTGTGTGTGGATTTCCTCTTGTTGAATCTAAACTCCTGTGTCTCTGGTTTCAGTCCTCTGTGTTGAACAGTCTGCTGACCGAGCAGACTCTGGCCTGTTCGGAGCTCCGCTGGGCCCTGAAAGATGAACTGCCCCGTGTGGACCCCCCCACGTCCCCCTCCACCCGCCTGCCCCCCCTGGACCTGATCCTCACCCAGACCCCGCCTCCTCACGGCGCGACCAAGGACAACAACAATGTAAGGGACAGTAGACAGGAGTGTGCGTCGATCTGTAGAGAGCACGCTGAAGAAACACTGTGATACTGACAAAAGTGACTCAAAATGAAACGCTGGTGACATGTTTAGTTTCCCAATAACAATATTTAGATCATTTCACAACAATCTAACACAGAGGTGGGCAAACTGCGGCCCTTTAATCTTCTTAATCCGGCCTGCCGAACTTGATAATATTCAGTGTTTTTCAAAGTAACTTCAATAAATAGTAAATATCGTGGGACCTGAAAGACAGATATTTTGTTATAATGCTTTGTGATGATTTTCATTTATGCGATATTTCAATAACATGGGATATATTTTCTACATATCCCATGTTATTTTTTTCTCTTATGAGGTGGATTACCAAAAAACTCCATCCATCTGCTCCCCTTTGTGGCCCTCGAGTCAAAAAGTTTGCCCACCCCTGGTCTAACAGAAATGTGCTGAAGCTGTAAGCAAAAGACGTGAGGGAAGTTTAGGGATCAAAGGTGAAATTACTGTAAAATTACATACTGTATTTTCCGGACTATAAGTTGCACCGCAGTATAAACCGCACCAGCAAAAAAAAAAAGCACAGTGAAGAAGGAAAAAAACATATATAAGCCGCACTATATGTCGGAAATTTATTTTACAAAATCAGAGACCAGGAATCGACATTTCCTGTGTAAAGTGAAGTTGTAGTAATAAGAATAGAAGAGAGAACAACAGACTGTTAACGTCACATATGAACTGGGGATGAGACATGATTTTCGAATAGTCGAATATTCGTCATACGTGCAAATATCAAATAGTAATTTCGAATAAAGACGTTTCCTAACCAATATTTCATGTACGGCATTCGGCCAGAAGGTGGCGCTAACAGACTGTAAAACTCCCTGTAGGTAGACTAGGCCGAGTGTAGAGGCTGCTCCGGAATAACAGAAGAAGAAAACTTATCGCGCGGCATTAGCAATGCAGAAAGCAAGTAAAAGTTCCGTATGGTCATTATTTACTTTGTTAAATGACAAAGAGGTTCAATGTGAAATCTGTCAGGTGAAGCTCGCAAACCATAGATCAACCACTACCATGCAGAGCCATCTGAGAGCCAAACACGCCCAAACACGCCCAAACACGGGAACATGCGCAAATGAACTCAGTACTGCCAGGAGATATGCCCACCGCTCCACACTGACCCGATGACATGGTGGAAAACAAACAAACAGAAAAACCCCCGACTGGTAAAGTTAGCGAGCGCTTACTTAGGTGTGTGTGCGACGTCTGTGCCATCGGAGCGAGTCTCTGCAGCGGGCAGTTCAATGAAAGTAGTGCAGTGGGCTACAGTATGTGCAGTGGGCTACAGTATGTGCAGTGGGCTACAGTATGTGCAGTGGGCTACAGTATGTGCAGTGGGCTACAGTATGTGCTTGGTCATGCGTTTTTAAAATTGACAGAGCCTTGAATATAATTTCATATTGTTTCATAGGTGGGTTGCTCAATTAAGATGTTCATTTCTGATTTGGAAGGTTGTTGTTTGATTAAACCTTTTGCGCTTAAATACCCCATCTGTCATCTCGTATATGTGCGTGCGTGTGTGCGGGTGGGGGAAGGGAAGGAGGGGAGGGGTCGATTTTCGAATAATATTCGAATAGCTGTTATTGATTTTCGAATAGTGTTTTTGCCAAATATTCACATCCCTAATATGAACAGTTCCTCAGATAAACAAACAGCATAAACAACAGAACAGAACAAGTTTACCAAACTCTCCATCTCACTCCAAATCACTAAATCCATTCAATTCTTCATCCTCGGTGTCACTTCTGAGCAACCAACTCTAACTAAATCTTGCTTTTAGTCTGCGATGAGCTGTTTTTTTGTTTTGTTTTGTATCCTCTGCTTTTCTCCAGTCGCTCACAAGTTCCTCGCTCGCTCCAAACTTTCTTTCTGCTGCTCGATTTCTGTTTTCGGCCGAATATTTCACGACTTGCAGCTTGTAACCTGCAGAATACGATTAAACAGTTTATCCCCGTGTGATAAAATAAGTTCTGTCGCTAAATGAACATTAGTGAGTGGGATACGTCTTAGTGACCCGTATGCTGGGTGACGAGAAGAAACGTCTCAAACTTCAGTAGCCGGACATCCACTCATACCTGGTCCATGCACCTATCCCCGCCCCCTGGAGAGCCTGAAATTGCTGAAATCCTCCAAGACACTGACATGATACAGACAGGACAGAGGCTCTTTCTGCAGGAGACATGCGCAGTAGAGCCAAGTGACAGTGGTACAGGAGGAACAGGAGCAGCAGATACTCACACACAAGACTAGAGCGCCCCCTCGTGGCTTCAGTGTGAAAATAATGAACATGAGAAATTATGTATTTTAATATAAAAGTTGCACCTGAGGATAAGTCGCAGGAAAAGCACAAACCATGAAAAAAGTGCCACTTATAGTTGGAAAAATATGGTACTTAGAAGCGCAGAAATCAAATTTTGAAATCTCTATTTTTAATTTAGAATCAGCTCTTTTTGCTTCATTTTGTGCTTTATTTTATTGTGTTTTTATTATTATAAATTATACACCTGTTATCATTGTGGACTTTTAAAATGTATTCCCCTACAGATTACAGATTACATATCCCAAAATGTAGTTTGTAACATAATCCATTAAATTACTTAAAGTGAGTAACGTAATCTGAATACTTTGGATTACTTGATATTGTCATAATTTTTAAAACTACATGAAAGTATCGACCACATCCTGAAAATTCTTGTTTGTTCTCTTCAAATTGTCTGTTAAGCCCAAGTCTCCATGAACAGACGTTTGTTTACTGTAAAGTAGCAAAGACCAGGATCTGAACATATCTGCTTAAAGACAATAAAAATTCCAGTCTTTCCTTAACCTTATTAAAAATATTATTGATAAAGAAATGCTTTTTATATGAGATCACTGCTGCCTGAAACTATGTCCACCCTAATGTTAGGTATCATATTGTTTAGATCTGGTTTAGTCCTGGTTTTGGTCCTGGTTTAGTCTTGGTTTTAATCCTGGTTTTAGTCCTGGTTTAGTCCTGGTTTTGGTCCTGGTTTTAATCCTGGTTTTAGTCCTGGTTTAGTCCTGGTTTTGGACCTGGTTTTAGTCCTGGTTTTGGTCCTGGTTTTAATCCTGGTTTTAGTCCTGGTTTTAGTCCTGGTTTAGTTCCTGGTTTAGTCCTGGTTTAGTTTAGTCCTGGTTTAGTCCTGGTTTAATCCTGGTTTTAGTCCTGGGTTTAGTCCTGGTTTAGTCCTGGTTTTAGTCCTGGTTTAGTCCTGGTTAAGTCCTGGTTTTAGTCCTGGTTTTAGTCCTGGTTAAGTCCTGGTTTTAATCCTGGTTTTTGGTCCTGGTTTTAGTCCTGGTTTTGGTCCTGGTTTTGGTCCTGGTTTTAATCCTGGTTTTAGTCCTGGGTTTAGTCCTGGTTTACTCCTGGTTTAGTCCTGGTTAAGTCCTGGTTTTAGTCCTGGTTTAGCCCAAAATTTGAAAACAGGAAAATACTGTCCTGTAATCCATTTATTTCAACAAAGTAACTGTAATCCAATTACCACTCACTGAAACAGTAACTGTAACTGAATACAGTTACTCATAATTTGTACTCTGATTACTCCGGTACATGTAATCTGTTACTCCCCAACACTGCCTGTTATTCAAATTTCAAAACTACTGTTGTGTTGTAGGGAGTGGTTGATATTGACGCAAAATCACACTCAAATTAAGGGATGGAATCATATTTTATACAACTGTGTTTTACAAAAAGTTAATTGTTTCAGATTTTTTTTATCTATTCAGGTTTAATCAACTCAAAATTATGAATACAGTTTCCGTTTTGAGTCTGAACGAGCCCTTATCGACCACAAACGTGCCACTGATTTCTCTTTTTAAAACGGTTCTTTTCTCTCTTTTTCTTTCAGACTTTGATCCCGGCCTCTCCCTTCTCCGCCCCAGCGTCCAGCCCGAGAGGTCAGGGGTCATCGGGGGTCACGGTGTCGCCCCTGGTCCCTTCTCTTGTTCCGCACGCTCAGTCTGCACACGCCTGACCTGGGACAGATACTGACCAGATCTCCAGGTAACGCCACAGAGCAAACATCGCCGTGGAAACTAGGGTCTGGACATGTTATATGATTTTTAAAGAACACATTTTATTCATTATTGCGGCTTCAGTTCGCTTTTAAACATGTTTTTTGGTCACTTTGGGGTAAGTAATCTGAAATGACGTCACATTTTCTAACTTGAAATAATGTCTACTGATGGAAAAATTTACTTTACAAACTGTTTCCAATGAGGTACCGTATTTTCCGCACTATAGAGCGCACTTAAAAACCCTTTAATTTAATCAAAAAACGATATTATAATCCAGAGCGCTTTATATATGAATTTATTGGGGTGTCTTAGTACGACTTTAGTAAACTACAAAGCCGCTCCACGTGCAGCGTTACGGCTCTCATAGTCAGGGCATCAGGAGTAAAACATACTGTCAAGAGACACGCTCACAACGCCCACTTTAAACTCAAGGCTGTTATAAAGTGAAAGAGCGTTTAGCTGCGTGGGAGCAGTGGATGAGAGAAGGAGAACACACATTCACCGAGACAGAGAGACAGCGCCGAGCGACTTACCCCACGATCTGCCGACGGATCGTGGACGCCCGGGCTAAGGATCAGGATCAACTGTGGTCCGAACTTTCACCAAGACCAGAATCATCATTGAACTGAACTCCAGGGAACAGTAACCACACTGACTCGGATATTGACGAGAGGGATGCTGCAATCGCCCAACTGTTTGAAAATTCTGACTTATTGTGAATACTCAACAATTTAGCGTCTCAAACAGGATTTTTTTTTCACGTTACAATTGAACAAAGTTGACAGTTATTGTGAACTTGTTAAATAAAGTTTGACTGACTGATCTAACTGTTGTGTTTTCGTTTAATCCGCCTTATAGTCCGGTGCGGTTTATTTGGGAAAAAAGTTCAAAAATAGACCATTCAATGCGCCCTATAGTGTGGAAAATACGGTAATTAAGCGTTAGAGCTCCCTCTGCTG